ATTGTTGTCCTTACTGAAAATGCTTAACAACATATGCATTGAGTGGCCATTCAATTCTTACCTAAGTTCATTTAGCCCCCCCCCCCCCCCCCCACCATCAATGTAAGAATGTCTTTCCTTATATGACACTTACGAAAAGTTTGAAATTCCAGCTACCCCCGCCCCCCTAAATGGGCTCGTATATATTGAATGATTCCTAAAACATAAATCTTGCATTATCAAACAGCATTTAAAGATATTATGTTAAAAAAATTAAGCGAAAAAAAATGTCCCGATTTTGTCAGTGTCCCGTTTTTGTCAGCCCTAAATTCATCAGGGGGCTGACAAAAACGGGGCATTACTGTATTACTAGAATTAAAACCTACTTTCTTTTACATATCTATAACAAGCTTACACTCTGTTATATCTACTGTTTAAAAAAAAACTATAATTCGTCAACTGTGTGCTATTAGCAAATGAGCAGTTTGTGACCAAAACTGTGTATGCCAAGCATGCTGTCCTGTGAAGGAAGATCCTAAGAAATTTAAATGTTCAAATTATGGTGAAAACCACAAAACCAATTGTTGGGAATGTTTGTAGACTCACAAAGCGATCCTACAATCAGCGTATCAGCGAGGAACAAATTCTACATTCGTATCTGTAAGTACAAACAGCTCACAAGCTTCAAAATCTTCATCTGCTGCTAACAATGGTCTGCAAGTAAATCGAGCTGCCTATGCTGCTATTGCTGATGGTAGAAATCGAAATCAAAATTCTAGCCAACATAATTCAAACGGAAATTTTTATGATTTTGACTTAAGTATCATTACTGTTTAGGAGCAGAAATATTTACAGAAATCGTTAATCGCCATGATTACTGATATGATTAAAACTAACTCCATGTTTGATGCTATTCAAACTGAAGTAAAATTTGCTAATAACATAGTCATGACATTGAAATTCAGCAATGGATTTTATATCATTAAATACTTTAAATTGGAATGCTCGATCTCTTAAGATAATAAAGAAGAGCTATTTAACTTTTTGAGAGTTCATAACGTGCATATCGCCGTTATAACTTAAACGTTCCTTGAAGGGACGCAAATTATTTCATTTATAAAAATAATCGTCTTGATGGAGCTGGTGATGACGTTGCCATCATTGTTCATATTTAAAGGTATCAAACATTTAAAAAAAATTCTTTTGAAACCAACATTTTTGAAACTACAGAAGTTTATATCGAAACAAAATTTAGACAACTTACGTTTGTAGCTGTCTATTTGCCATTCAACGCAGGTCAGCAAAATATTTTTCTCAAGGGTGACCTTCAGAAACTTACCCGTCATAGGTCTAAATTCTTCATTATTTTTTGGTGATTTTAATGCAAAACACCGCTCTTGGAGTAATGCTCAAATCAATCGATTGTTCTGCATTTTCTCCCAACTATTGATTTGGTCTAAACTTATTCATGCCAACATTGTAGCCAATTGGTTGCCTATGCTGACTTCGGTTCTGATAGCATTCCAATAACTTTTGAAATATCCCAATAAATAATTTCTAATCCCAACAACTCTACTTTCAATTACCAAAGATCTGATTGGGAGCAATATCAAACATTTATGAAATTTAACTTCGATCCAAATATTTCTTTGCAAACCAAAAATGATGTTAATTAAGCTCTTGAATCTCTGAATACTTCTATAGTTGAAGCAAAAGCTGCATCAGTACCAAAATAAATTCGTTTCTATTATAATAGACGATGATCTTCACCTCTTGATCCGTCTGAAAAATGTCCGTAGGAGGCAATATCAAAGAACACGCGATTCTGCCATGGAAGTTGTCTGGCTGGATTTGCAAAAACAAATTTAAAAGCGATGCTATGCCCTGAGGAACAAAACTTTTGAAAATAATGTTTCGGAATAAGACCCGAATACCAAACCCTTTTGGAAGCTCACAATTTTTAAAAAAAAAACCTCAAAAGTCTATTCCAGCGCTTAAAGAAGGTGGTCAAATTTTGATCACAAATTCTAAAAACAGCCCAGAAACATGCTTAGCAATTCGAGAGTTCCCATAATTTCAGTTTGGGTCTCATTAGTCCTATTGAGAATCAGGTTGCTCGAGATTATTTGAATATTTTCTCCCGGGAAAATATTTTGATGATTCCTGGGGTACTGATTTGGACGAAGTAAGATCTATAACTCAAAAGTTTCAACATATGAAAGCTTCAGATCAGGCATAACATTTGATAACGGCACAAAAGCATTTGTAAACAAACTTTCTAAGGCCTTTTACACGCGAACCAAAGTACGCATACGCAATACCACTTTCGGAACGGTGATAGTTGCCCCTATCCGATGATGTCGTTGGTTTGCGTGTGCGTACTTTGGTTCGCGGGTAAAGAGCCTTAGAAAGTTTGTTTACAAATGCTTTTGTTCCGTTATCAAATGTTATGCCTGAGATGATGTTGGAATGTTCTACACCCTCATAAAAAAACCCCCAGAAAGTAGCTTGTCTTTCTTAGTATAACTATTTATCAGATATTTCCATTTGGCGTACTTTCCTGATAAATGGAAATATGCAAAAGTTGTTCCAATTTTGAAGCCGGATAAAAATCCAGCTGAAGCTTCTAGCTACCGTCCAATAAGTTTGCTTTCTTCAATAAGTAAACTTTTTAAAAAGATAATTTTGAACAGAATGATGCTTCACATCAATACGAACTCAACTTTTGCAGATGAGCAGTCTGGATTTCGCTGGACATGGACATTCAATTACTCATCAACTCATAAGAGTTACCAATTCAATTCCCTGCTCAACTGGAGTTGCTTTTCTTGACATAGAAAAAGCATTCGTCAGTGTTTGGCATGAAGGTTTGATTGCTTAATTGAAAAAGTTTAATTTTCCAGTCTATAGAACGGCTCTAATGTTGGCTTTTGGATCTAAGATTGGGCCCATCGCTAAAAATCTGCTATTTATCAATTTTATCTAGATGAACGCGTCATTCGGACGGTACTAATGAATATTTTTGGTCGCTATTGAAAATTTAGTCGATTGCTGAATTTATGTATGGGCCCAAATTAGGGGCATTTAGGCCGACATTACATCCATTCCCTCTTTTATGAAATTAGTTAAAAATTATTTAGCTGACAGAACTCTGCAAGTAAATTATGAAAATTCCAAATCTGAACGACTACCTGTTAGAGCAGGAGTTCATCAGGGTAGCATTCTTGGGCCAATTTGTATAACATTTTCGCTTAGGACCTCCCAGATTTGCCTCAGGGTTGCCACAAATATTTGTTAGCCGATGCCACAGGCATTTCAGCTATAGGAAGAAGTCTTCGTGTTATTTGCAGCAGACTGCAGCAAAGTTTAGATATTCTCTCTTCTTATTTACAAAAATGGAAGATTTCTCCCAACGCTTCCAAAACTCAACTTATAATATTTCCACATAAGCCTAGAGCTTCGTTTTTGAAACCTAGTAGTAGTCACATAGTCACTATGGACGGAGTTCCAATTTCCTGGTCAAACCAAGCGAAATATCTTGGATTAGTACTTGACCAAAAATTAACTTTTAAAGATCACATTAATGCCCTCAAGCCAAATGTAACAAATATATAAAATGTTTGTATTCTCTTATAAACAGGAAATCCAAACTTTGCCTGACGAATAAATTTCTAATATTTAAACAAATTTTCAGACCGGCCATGCTTTACGCTGTGCCAATATGGTCTAGTTGTTGCACTACCAGGAAAAAAGCACTTCAAAGGATTAAAAACAAAGTTCTTGAGATGATTTGAAGTTGCATCCCTGGTAAAATACTACCAAGGGACATAGAATTTCGAATGTTGAGACTTTAGAACAAATGTCCAACAAAATAATTAATAATTTCAGGCAAAAATCGTTGCAATCCTCAATTGCAACGATTAATTCCCGTTATATTTAAATAAGATTTAGTTTTAGTTTTTTTGTTTTAAGATGTCAATTGTTATACTGACAAGCAGGTTTTGAAAATACTGAATAACCAAGGCAGGAGCAATGTTAAAACAATTAGATATATATCATAACAATTACGGCTGGTCAGTTTCTGTAGTAGATGGAGCACTTGGATAAAAAAGAAATGTAATTTATTTTGAATTTGGAACAAATAAAGAGTTAAAAAATCGAAGGAGCTTGTAAAATCAATATCAAGCCTAATAGTTGGCTCCAGTATCACGCGTGATATTGAGAGCGTATAAGAGCGGAAAAATATTCTTTTGCGGTGAAATTTCCAAAATGTTCTGTGAAATCACACACCTTCCCCTTCGTCGATAATCTGCAACCAACTAGTACATTTTTCTACACTATGCTCCTCCACCTCTTGCGTTACGTAATTTGAATAAAAACAGACCCTAATCAAAGATTTTAATATTTATAGAATTCTGGAGTAAGAAATTTGCAGTTAGCAATGAGCAGACTTTCTTGTTTCGAAATTGGATTTTTTAATCTTTGGCTTATTGGACATTTCAACTTTTTGATCCATTCGGTGAACATTGGACTATGGATCCATTACATCTTGAATCCACAATCTCACGTACCTCTTGACTCTTGAGACGTGCACAAAACATAACCCAAGAGATAGCAGCTGAATCGACTGCAAACCCACGAAGTAATAAAAGGATAAGGTTTCTTGTAAAACCAACCCCCACACATTAATGCCGCGTCGTCGACAGTGGCATGTCATCAGATCAGGAATACTAATTAATGTTGTTGAAATGGGTTCCAGGAAGCCTGCATCAGAAACTTTTCTGTTAGGAGAATTTCATAACAATACTGACAGAATCAGTGTTCAACAATGGAAAACAGATATTCCATTTTGCCAGAAACAAATCCTGGATGCCATATTCCATGCATAAAAGATGCACTCAATTAGTCAGACAGATAAATCAATTTACCTATTTCGCATTGCATCGATATCTATATTTCCAAGCTAGCAGCTGTATGCTAACAATCGATCTCTATCTTTCCCTTTCCATTTACCATTACAGCCAGTGATTTGGAAGCGAACGAAATGTATCGTGACCTACTAAGCCAGCACGGTGCCCCCACAATCGAATCGTTCAAACCGGAAGTGGAACTGGAAGCTGGCGTCAGCTACGAAATGACCTGCACAGCTAACGAGGCCATCCGATGGCTCAACAAACGCACAGATATGGAGGTTGGTACTCATCATTAAACCGTGTGCTGATGTACACTTGACGTTGAATTTACTTGTAGGATATTGAACCTCCACTGATCGTAGTCGATCAGTTCGAGACAAACGACACCAATAAGCCATTTGGAATCAAACTGACCATCCCTGCGGCTTCGGCCAATGTCGTTGGACGGTACTATTGTATCTTCGAATCAATCGACAACTCCGACCCGGACGTGGATTTGGAGGATGTCGAAGCACTGTACAAAGCAACCAGTACCTACATCTTCGTCAAGGACCCCAGCAGTCCACTAGTTCCAGTCGAGCACACCGTTGTGTTCGCACAGCAATACGAGGATGTCGTCATTCCATGTAAACCTTCGTCTAAGGACGGTCTCGTCGAGTTGGTCAAGGATGAGCAGGAGGTAAATTACACATAAAGAAATTCACCTCTAAAAACATATCACTTTCAGATTTCAGCCCTTTACCACTTTCAATCTATCGTCTATCCTATTCGATCTAGATCTTTCTGCTGACTATCCTTCTTTCGCTATTCTAGTTCAACGAAACCTTGCGGAATGCACAGTTTGACCCCGCCAAGGGTTTTCTGTTGCGCAATGAAACCAATCAGCTTCGATGGCTTACCTACCACTGCTACCACCGTGAGCTCGAGCAAAGCCAGCCCTTCTTTCTCAATTTGCAATGTACGTGGTTCCGAGCGTAAAGCTTCAATTTTCGAACCCCTCCCCCCCATTTTCCGATGAACAAAAAAATCCCAATTAACAGTGCTCATGTCGGTGATGCCACCGTCTTTCCCCAATTGTAGATTCCACGCAGTCAATAATTCAACTTGTTTATAAGAAACAGTGCTGACTCATACAACCACCGCCTCCAACTCCACCCCTCAGTGCTACCATGTGGTGAGATTTCCCCCTCTCCCCCGCAATCAAGGTATCCAAAACGCACTCGGCGACTAACTCTGTAAAGAGATTTTTATCCACTCGTGTATCTAAGCGTAGTGTAAATACGAATACCCCGGCCTCGGTTGAAACTGTTGGTTGCACTATAGTAAGTAATCGAGCACAATGACTGCGATTTGTCTTAGCCGGCGGATCCAAACTGTTGGAAATACGTTCTTGAAATGCATTTGCTTTGGTGTAAATCAATGCCAAATTTTCACAAAATCAGATAAGGTTAAATTCAACAAGCTGCATAAACAAGTGAACGTATTTTCACCAGGGAGGTCAACCATCCCGTCGTATCCCAGTGTAAATAGTGTATGAAACTGTAATTACTGATAACAACCTATATAATGCTCATAGTTTAAACATCGACGCGCCACCCCGCCCAGGTTTCCTTTCTGTTTACACTTCTATACTATAATCTTACTGTCGATCCTTCTTTTTTCTGTCTACACACTCTGTTAGTACATTCGACGCCGGTGGCAATCAAACACTTTGCCGATTAATTACCTCAGTCTGCGTCAGTTACTCGTAATTGCCGCACGCTGCCAACATCGATGTACATATAGTTTCTGTTGTTGTTATAATTACCATCATCCAATTCCCAATGCAGATGGAAATCGAAAACTACAAATACACCGAATCGCGGGGCTACGTCCTGAGAACGTACCGCATCGAGGACGCTGGACTCTACATTTGCCGTCCCAGGGCCAGCCCGGTCGAGCAGGAGTTGCACTTTCAGATGGATGTTATGGAGTCCTGTGAGTTGAAGTTGCTAATGAGTGGAACTAACAACAAATGCAAACTAGGAAACGCTCGCCGGCTGCTGCCCCTTCTGTCGACCACTAGCGCGATCCGAGGTCGTGATTCTTCGCCACCACGCTTCGAAATCAGCAACGACCGTCCGGAAGCACCTCCTTCTTCAGTCGTCCATCGTTCACTTTCGAAAACCACTAACGCACGAACATCTCGCACATCTAGAAGTAGTAACTCTATTCTGAACCTGTCTGGTGAACTTTCTACAACGACGATGACGACGACTGAAAAGACCGAATTCACCGAGCAGTACACCACCGAACATGGTGCCGAAGGGTTCGACCGTACGACGGATGCTAGTGGCGGAAGGGGCGGTAGTCGTAATGCAAGTAGTAGCTCTGGTGTTGGATCTAGGATGCTTGGTAGTAGCGCGGGGCAAGTCACCACCGGTAAAGGTTCACGTCTGGACCCATCTGCCTCACCGTCTGTTTCACGTCCGTTTGGACGACGTGAGTTGTAACTGCCTATCTTTCTATTCTCTTCAGCGTCACGGTGGACGGTCTGTGATGACGAATCGAATGCTAAAAAAGGGTCTGATGGCTGAGCTTATTTCCTTCTAGCTTGTTTCAGTGTAACGAAAATCCATGGAATGTCAGAACAGATCGAAAAATCGCCCCCACTGAATCCGGCCGGATTGATTCAAATATCCCAGATTTAAGAGATTTATTCCATTAATGATTGTTGTTTTCTACCCGAGTCCTCCACCTTAATGACAAAATAAAAAAATATGGTTCTAATATTTTGCGTTAAGGAACAAAACTACATTTTTTAAGAAATTCTTAGAACCACTAGGGGAAATGGATATAATGTCGGCTTAAATGCCTCTAATGTGGGCCCATACATAAATTCAGCAGTCGACTAAATTTTCAATAGCGACCAAAAATATCAATTAGTACCGTCCGAATTACGCGTTCATCTAGATAAAATTGATAAATAGCAGATTTTTAGCGATGGGCCCAATCTTAGATCCATAGGCCAACATTAGAGCCATTTCCCCTATGCTGTATTTTTGAAGATTTCGTGAGGTTTGGTGGACGCACATCAATCATTTTACAAACAACGGTGCACATGTTGGCTGGAATATTTATCAGTAAGATCCAGCATAAACAATAACCATAAGAAGCGCATAAACAATAACCATATTATCCCAGCTTAATGTGGTAAGGTCGTACCATCTATGGTATCGTTAGAGTAGGTACCCGTTTATTAGGGATGGGTCAGATTTCACCATAGGTGGATTAATTCAGGATTTTCATATTGCTATTGCAGAATGTAAAAAATTGGGCAGTACAAAGTTAAAATCGATGCAGAGAACTCACGACCTCTCATAAGTGTTACGAGAAAGGTGGAGATTGTTATTAGGGAGGGTAACCCATAGTCTTCATCTGGTAAATGTTATTGGCAATTTACTAATATTCTAAATTGACCAGCATTTGGTGGTCAAAAATTTAATTGAATTAAGACCACAAATAGCTCTGGAACACTTTAGCTAAAAATTAATTAAGAAATACCATGAACCAGAATGTACTTAATTTATAACCGGTTCAGTTTATAAAACGGACACACACTTCCAGTCACAACTTTATTACTTGTTTACTTAGCTGAATATTTCCTTTGGTAGCTTTTAAGCTCTACTTAGGGGCTCACAGTGAGACGAAATTAAAAAAAGAGGGACATGGCCATTTGCGACGAACAGCAAAGAGTGTAGCATTTTGATGACCTCAAAATGCCTCTGCATTTTTTTTTAATGCTTTGGTGAAATTTTTTGCTTAAGGGTGGTATACACTAAGATAAAAAAAATAACTTTTTATGTCTTGTTAAAATTGCTGATTATCTATGGAAACATTTTAGATGAAGCCATTTTAAGGAACTTTGTCTAAGACGTCCATTTTCTATCTCTCAAGTGGACGAAGTTATAGGGTGTAAATGGAGTACAAGCGGTAGTTCCCCCTTAAAAATCGTTTTTTACCATAACTTTTTTAGTTTGAATTTTACCATTTTTTCAATGTTCTACAAAGTTGTAAGTGCTCTAAAACTGTACATTTTTGCTGAAAAAAAAAATATGGCTATCTCTTCGTTTTAAGGATTTAAGTTCCTTTTTATAAATATTTAACGCATGTTAGCATGTAGTCTACTGTTACATATACAATTCATAATTTAATTACATTTAATTACATAATGTACATACTTGGAAAAATGGTCATGAAAACAGCAAAACGTAACAAAACATTGAGGTACTATATTAGAAAATTCATTAGGGATCCCCTTGGATCCCCCTAGAAATTGTGCATGTTACAGAAGGGTATAAGCTACGTTGAGTTTAGCTGCTAATACCTGCTAACCTGCAAGATACACCCCTTTAAAGTTAGTGTTGAAAAATTATTAATACGCATGTAAATCCTTTACATGAAGAGATGCCGATTTGCTTCATTGAGCAAAAATATGCATTTTTAGAGCACTTCAACTTTGTAGTACTTTGCAAAAATTGAAAAATTTAAACTAAAAAGTCATGTTAAAAAAATGTTTTTAAGGTGGTACTAGCGTTACCCTAGTAGCACGCTTGTCACAAATAAATTGTAGAAACTTATATACGACTTATTTCAGTCATAAACAAGTTGCTATAACTTATTGTGATGAAAGTGTGCTACTCGGGTAATACTCCATTATCACCATATAACTTCGTCTACTTGAGAGATAGAAAATAGACGTCTTCGACAAAGTTTCTTAAAATGACAGGGCTGGTAGCGAGTCATTTTTTAGTGACTTTTTCACTTAGGTCTCTTTTTTTAAGGCCAAGTCACTAAAGTAACTTTTTCTTGTAATCAGTCACTATTTTCAACTTTTTTAGCGTGAAATTATTTTAAGATTGATCATTGGTCTTGCACTGTGTAGGATCTGAGTCCAATCGATGCCTACATTTTGTTCTAATTTTCGAACAATTCGAAGGAGATTTGGGACGTTTAATCGTCTTTCTCTACCTGCAGGGTGTCTACTAATGTTTCTAAATAAAATTACCTGAGTTTTCCAGATTTTTCCAGAACTTTAACGGATAAATTCCTGGCTAAATGCGCTAAACATACGTTTTTTTTTTTTAGTAGATCAAAACCAACAGCAATTAACCCAACCCAGCTTCATGAGAACTGAATTTTTTTTTAGAGAAATTTTGAGAATTCCAGAAAAGAACAGAGAACATCAGAGCTGGTTCGTTAACTTTAGAGAAGTCACATAAATGTTGAAGAAGTTGAGAGAATTGCGCGAATTGTTAAACCCTTAGAGGAGATCCATGATCGTTAGAAAAATTGAGGAAACATTAGGAAGTCCTATAAAGTTCAGGGAAGTTCAAGAATTTGATGAGAAATATTGTGAGAAAAGTTTCTCAAACTACAAAATAATTTCAAGACAGTTTCATTAACTTCAGGCAAAAATGGGAACTTTCACGTAACTTAATTTTCCCTTAGTTTTCCTCCTTGAAATTCTTCACAATAAGAAACCCTTTCTAAACATTCTCCGAATATTCATTGAATTCATTTCAGATTTCCTTTTGAATCTCACTGCTTTCCGTGGAATTCTACTCACATGGAAAGTCTCCTAACAATGCATTGGCATTTCTCCTCACAAATTCCTTAGATTTCTTCTCATAATATGTTTGGCAACCTTTCCTGAATTTATTTTCCTTTGAAGATATCGTGAAGTTATTCTAAAATTTCCAAGGAGTTATGCTCCGGATTCGTTTTTTCCCACAAACTTTATGAAATTATCCTCAAAATGCCCATGGATTTTTCCACTGAAGGTCACGAGAGTTTTGCTTCACAGAAATTCCTTAGAGTTTTGATTAAAATTCACTTTAAATTCAATTCAGGGTTTCTTGAAATTTTACTCAAAACTATCAGGCTTTACATGAAATTTAAAATTCCTCAGAACTACCTTGACAGCAGATTGCATTTGATATTTTTCTTAAAGACTTTTTTCCCAGAACTCCCTTGGAATGAGGTCCTTCGAAATTATAAAAAAATGCCACGAGCCTTTAAAACTATGCATGGAATTCGACTCCAGATTCTTCCAAATTTCTTGAAGTATTATAGCTTTTAAGTCCAGAACTAGTTCAAATTTAAAATTTGTAGGAAATTTGCATGTTCCAAAACCAAAAATTTATTTGTTACTGAAGATTAATCCACTGTGGATCTATGAAGTTCAGAGTGTGAATGAAAATACGGAGAAAAATTTAATGCTTGAATTTTAAAATTTAATTTTTTAAATATCCTTAGTAAGAAAATTATTAAATTATCTGAGACTTTCAGGTATTTTGAAGAAAAAGAAAATTTCCTGAGGATTCCCAGTTTTCCAGGTCTTTGCAGTTAGTGGACATCCTGACTTATACCGTGGTTCATATCGTACATAAACACGTACATAAGTGTTTATGAAATACTAATTGAATAAGTCTAAAACATCAAACATTTATTTGATGTGCCATCAAAACTGCTAATTTTCTTCTCTTAGGTCTCTTAGGACTTTTTAGTCACTATTTTTACAACTTTAAGTCACTATTTGGCCACTTATTTCTTCAACATGGTCACTAAAATCACCATTTTTAGCAGCAGTGATTGCTACCAGCCCTGAAATGACTTCATCTACAATGTTTCCATAGATGTTTAACAATTTCAACAAGACATAAGTGGAGGCGAACCAGCCCCAGGCTGAAAGCCTCCCTAATAAAGATAAATTAATTAATTAATTAACAAGACATAAGTTTTTTTTATCTTAGTGTATACCCCCCTTAAACAAAAATGTTCACTTCTCAATTAAAGTACTCAAAAAATGAACAAACATTCTAAAAGACATCAAAATGCTACACTCAATAGTTTCGTCGCAAATAGCCATGATCCTCTATTATTGATTTCGTCCCACTGCACAGTGGTCCAGAATGCAGATTTAGGTGGAATGATATGTTTTGAGCCGGAAATTGAAACTTTAGACTAGAAGTCTCCTCTACAAAGTTGTTCCTTATAGTTATGCCCTCATTTTTATGACAATGAATTCTATGGTGGTTCCTATTATCATTAAAATCAAAAATCTAACTTATTTGTTTGAATAAATTAAGTTATACACTTTTCGGCAAAGTGATAGCTGAGCTAATTTTAAGCAACTTTGTGGAAACAACTTTTTTGTATCTCTTAAATTGGTCGATTTAGAGCTATTTTCTTGAATTGAGTGGCTCTAAATACAATACTAAATTGCTAATAACTTTTTTACTTTTTTTTTTCTCATGAAAGTCATCTCGTAGAGACTTTTAAAACTCTTTAAGACGAATGTTTTATAGCGAGATTTGTTACCTGTATCTCTTCCAATAAAAAAGATATACCCAATTATAGTAAAAAATATGAATAAATTCAAATTGATTTTATACGAGTTTAAAAAATAACATACCTCCATTTTTTTTACATTATTGAGA